TTTTTCCTAATTTAAGTTATCCATTAATATTGGTCTGTTAATTACTACTTGCTTTAAGTTATCCATTAATGCACACTTGTTGCATCCTCTTCTGTTCCTTTAATTATCACATATGGATCTCAGATTGGTGTAGTTATAGAAGACAGAGAGTTGATTGATTCTTTTATGGATGGAAAGCCTTGGAAAGCAGGAAAATTTTCCTTGACTCTTAGATTGTCATTATGGTCTGAGCACTTGGGTCTCCCTGCAATGGAGGTTAGTGACTTGCTATTCTTTGGAGATTAGTTGTTTCCTGTGCCTGATTTGTAGTGACTATTTTAATTTCTTTTCCTTAGGTCAATCAAATAATGGACCCAGTTGTTGGATCTACTTACAAGGAAATTTGGATGGCAACAGCGAAGGTAGTAAGAAATAGAATGTTAATATTTATTGCTATTTTTACTGGTAAAGGTTTTTATATGAATAATGATGCTTTAATTGATATATTCTTATAAAATTATTAGAATTTAATTAAAATATATATGGACAGCGTAAAAGTTTTTTACACTTATACAATCATAAATTGTCATATCATTAAAAGTGTTAACTTCTATAATAATCACTTTAAAAGTCATATCTATGATGACTTTTAATTGGTTGATCATGTAAAAATTTTTACATCAACAGTATATCAAAATTAAACTAAAATTATTATTACATGAAGATTTCCAACATAAAATTCATTCTTTTTAAAACACTAATTTTGCCTTAAAATAATTATTACATGAGTAATTATTTTTTGGAAGTTCCTTGGCCCTTTTTAGTTATATCATTGCCCTTCCATTAAGTTAAGGATTAACCAGATTTTATTGTAGCCTATACAGATTTGTTTGTCATTTTGTGTGTGTTTGTTCTGAGGTTTCTTTTCTTCTCTTTTGGCCAAATAGAAGAAATACCTCCTCCAACTTTAAACATCCGGCAAATTGCCCCTTGGAAGTTTTAGCTTTTTGCAATTTTTTTCATTTGAACTGTACACTTTTAATAATTTAAAACTCTTAAATTATAATAGTCTCATACAAATTTACTTCAAACTTCTTGAAGTGTTTGGTTAGGCGATATAGAATAAATCTAATGACATGGTTGGAAAAAAATATTAAAGTAAACAAAGGTTGAAAACAATTGTATATTGCCAAATATTTTAAGTTCAAATGGTAATATCACAAAAAATAGAATTTGAGGAGGCAATTCGTGAAAAGTCTAACATTGGTAGTTTGCTGTTTAACCTATTTTTTACTTTTTATTTTAGGAGGATATCATCTAGTCTTCTACTTTGTATTTCTTAAATTGCATTAAAAATATACAAGTATATTTTCTGACCTCTCAATTGCTTATTTATTGGCAAAAGGTATGTGTTCATTCATGCAAGGGTTTAGAATCTATTAGAAAACTTAGGCTTAACTCACACTTAAAAGCTAATTGATAGGAGAAGGACTATCTAATTTCTTATTAGGGGTATTCTAACTATTTTCCTAACTAATGTGGAATATGTTAACACTCCTCTCATGTCGGACATTTAGTACATGAAATTTGCACGACTGAACATATGTGGATGGCCCAATAGGATTGGACAGTTGTGAGTAGTCTAACATTCAAAACGAATAGACTTTGATACTATATTAGAAAACTTAGGCTTAACTCACTTCTAAAAATTAGCTCATAGGAGGAGGATTATCTTATAAGGAGTATTTTGACTTATTCTTAGATAATGTGGGATATCTTAACAAAATCAATTGTTTTAAAAGAACAAAGGGAATTTGGGAAGATTTCAGGAAACGAATTCCTAGTTAAAATGTTCATTGTTCAAGAAATGCTAACCCGTTTTCTACTAATTAATTAGTTGAGTTTTTATTTGTTCTGAAATTAAAAATATTATGATCCAATCCTAGTTGAAAAGTCAAGAGAGGGGGGAGTCTTGAAAGCATGTGGTTTCTGATTAAATAGAAGTAAAGGGGAGCTTTTGGAACGTTAGTTTAAGAAGGCACGCATCGGCAACTAGCTTAGAGGTAAAATTAGAAATCCTACTATTCCACTAGTTTCAATAACAGCCCTCGCTAGGAGAGTGGTCCAAATGGACAGTCTTGTAAGTTAGAAAGGAAGGAAGGCAGAATTTTTTTGGTGAAACCATTAGAAAGGTCTTCAGATCCAAGTGAACTTGCTGAGAATTTAATTTTATGACAAAAAAACAATTACATCATTTGATCCATGTAGGCTACCCTTTTTACTGGGAAAAGGTTTTTTTTTATCCCAAAAATCTAACATGGTCAGTCCTCAGTGCCAGTTTATTCCAATTCCATGCTGGGGATCGAAGACAAGACTAGAAATGACATCTGGAATCTGCCAAGAAGACACAGGTCGTTAGTATGGGTTTGGACTAGAGATCATGATCATTTTGCAGTTACCCATAGACTCTCCCAAATTCCTTTTTGAGTGCAATGCTCGTTTTAGGAGCGCAACATTGTTGTGAAATTACTTTCTTTAGCACAATTGGTTTTGGAAGTTACTTTGGTTGCATTACTATGTCTAACTTATAAAGGCTATAAAAATCTTCACTTTATGAGTTAGCTTTTAAGGGTTGAGTTAAATTTAGCTTGAATTCAAGATGGTGTGGGAGCTTATGATAGATCTGATATTCGGCTACTCTTGACTACAAATAAAGAACTTGGTTTCACGAATTTTTTAGTGCAATTAATCTAACTGCATGAATTTTCTAATGCAACTTATTTAGTCCTGCAGTTTTTTCAGTGCAATATCTATATATGAAAAAGAAATCAATCTTACGATCTCTATGCTTGGGCAAGAGAGGGGTGTTAAAATCCCATATTAACTATAAATATGATCAAGTAGAGTTTATAAAGAATAAAACAATCTTTACCTATGAGTATGCTTTTGTAGTTGAATTAGGGCAAGTCCAAATTTAAGAATGATTGTATGTTTTATTTTTTATGATTTGCCATGTAAGCAATTCGGATAGACCTTTTCTTTCTGTTTATGCAAATAGCTATTACACAAACATGTGTACATGTTTTCTTCTTCCTAATTTGAACTAATTGAATACCTCTAGATCTTTCAATGTTTCTGCTTAACTGAATAAGACTTCAATAAGAATATTGATCCTTGGATTCGTTTCACAGACAAATACTACAATTTACCAGGATGTCTTTTCTTGCGTACCTAATGATCTGATACACACCAGGTACGTTGGCAATAATGTTTGTCCATCTTACATCTTTGGGTGAAACTTCATTGTCTTGTCCTAATATGTATTTTAAACCATATGTTTTTGCAGACTTGCTTTCAGACAAAGTGTGGCTTTTTGGAAAGAAAAAATTGGTCACACGACCATTGATTTAGGAATAGCCCCAGGAAAATTACAATCCTATCATGATGGAGATACTAAGAACACTGATCCCTTGGAGAGACTAGCATCAGTGAGGGGTCACCTTGTCTCTTTTCCCTTGGAGTTTATGTGTCAAGAAAGTCTAAGACCAGCTTTTAATGAAAGCGAATACTACGCTACTCAAGTTTTCCATTGAGCACGATGTCTCCCAAGTGCAAAAAGCGTCTTGGGTTTTTGTTTTCTTTTATAACTTTTACAAGGGATTTGTAATTTGTTACTTGCAGAATTTATTTTTATTACAATTCTGCAAGTGAAAGAGGAGGCGGAGGGTATAATCATCATTCTTGTAAAGAGTGTATCTATAACTGTCCACTGTAAAAAATGAAAAAAATAAGAAATCCATCAGATTAATATATATATATATATATAAAATCAGTTCAACAATTTATGCTGATATTTTTCTTTCGTTCGGCCCCCTATTTGTTCGCCAATTATCGGGTGAATATTCGAAGATGTCCTAGTTTATAATTTTATGGTGTAAATACGGTTGATTTTTGGAGCTTTAACCGAGCTTTGAGAACTACTTTTAAACTACAAATCAACCTTGATTCGACACAGATTGTGTCATAGTCTCGTATGTCTAACGATGTGGATTAATGCACTATCGCAATCCACATAATTTGAATGGCATTACTTGCATCTTTTTTTTCCTTCCTATTGTTGATTCAGCCATTTTCACAACCTTGGACTCATGCTGAATGTTATGCTTGATATTCGAGAAAAACTCAGGAATTTTATAAAATGACCCATTTTAAACGATGTTGAATGTTTAGATATTATTTCAAACTGTTTACGGATGAAAAAGAAAATAGTTTTGCAGCGCAACACGTCCATTAATAATTTCGCTGTTAATCTTTATTCCATTCTAGTCCCACCATTATGCATCATCAATCCCTTTTAGGTTGGTGACATTCTTGTCAAAATCTTCATGAACTATCCTGAATACGAATCTTTACTCTTCTTAAATATACATCGGACGTGAGACGTTGCAACAATCCAATCGTGACGATGTTCATTAACTATTATGTAGCAATCTTTATTTCTTTCCTTTCTTTTTTATGTGAACATTATGTTGCAATCATGTATCTCTGACTTCCACCTAAAGCAATCCTAGCCATGAATTTGTGCTTTCTTTGTTAACCAAGTCCTTTGGGGTTCATAAAATAATCTCACCAGTGTCCACTTGTTTGACCTTGACGTTCAAGTGCTCTAACAACTGGCCAAGAGATAGGCTTGTGTATGGTGTATCATCATTGAGAATGTGTCGTTAAAAACTTATAGTTTCCAACAGATTGAGTCTCGTTATTAGAATATTCAGTCAAAGAAAATTTCTGATTAATTAATATTGAAGATCACTTAATTTAATGCCAACGACTAAAACACAATCCAATTTCATCCACACAAGTTATTTATTCATTACTTAATCGTCAAGTTGCTAGAGTAATAATGTAATATATTTGTTAACTAATCGTCCTCTTATTAGAATACGACCAATGCAAACTCTGAATTACGGGAAAATATTCATTTTGCTATTTAATTACTAATTGAACCCCTGAAGTTGGCCACCACATGGTAACCATGACGTATGGACACTTTCCATTACCCGAAGAGCCCATCTATTCTGTATACTATGGTGGCCAAAGCAAGCGTACTATGGTAAATTGGTAACCACCACCTTACATTACAAGTTACAATAAGTAAACGCCACGTCCTTTCACAAGCTGTATTTGCAATTTGGATTCATGGAGTGTAAGTAGCATACATAGCTTCAGAGGAATCATCCTTAGTTTCTGGAATGACATAGGATTTGCTGGTGGTCATTCCAATCTCAGGTATATACTAACTGACTTTTTCTCTTGATCAAATTCGGTGCGAAATCAGTCTATTCTATTCAGTTTTCATTTTCCTCAGATTATGTTCTCAGTGGATATGAACTCTTTCATCTTCCTTTGGGGGAGAATTATGAATAATGCAGGAAAGACAATGTTTTTTGCGATAATCTGAATGCTTGTTTGTAACTTTCTTTTCTTTATGATGAGAAAGTTGGGATTTTCTTTAATGTTATGAACACCGTTCTTTTCCATTACATGTATTAAGTGGTGGACGATAACTTTGAAAGAGCTAGAACTTATATACGACACGTATATCATGTTTGTTTCGTGAACAAGTAAACAATTAAGATATTCATTTCATTTTTCGTGCTTGTGAAATAACTGGTATACAGGAAAAGTGTTGATGTTCTTGATCTTCAGCTATCTTCTTATCTATTTATGTTATTATTGTTGTTTTGTTGACTAAAGGGTGTCCAGTGTTTACTACTTGGTTTCCAATCTTTGCATTTCTACTACAACAGAAGCATAACAAGGACTCGATTTTCTGGCAGTGTATAATCTGGAACTGTGATTGGAATGAAGTAATAGCCATGGTTCTTTTTCCATCTCTTGTCAATGGATTGACAAGAACTGTGTCATTGAAGAAAGAGAAGAGTGGTAGAAAGGATGCTGGAAGGAAAGCTGTGGAAGCATTGGAAAAGGAAGCAAGGAAGAATGAATTGTTGATTAGTTCATCTGGAATTGTTAGGTCTTTCAAGGCCAACAATTTTGCTTCCTTGTTCACTAAGAAGGGCCAGAAAGGAGTCAATCAGGATTGCCTTATTGTTTGGGAGGTATGCCAACATATATAATATCTTATTGCCTTTTTCAGCATAAGTGAGACAGAAACCTTAAGAAGTTCAATTAGTGTAGGAATTGATATTATGTTCTAATATGTTTCTAATACTAGGAATTTGGTTGCCAAGAAGACATCATCTTCTGTGGAATTTTTGATGGGCATGGTGCTTGGGGACACTTGGTGGCCAAAAGAGTCAGGAAACTACTACCTGCTTCCTTGCTATGCAATTGGCAGGAAAATCTGGCTGCAACATCACTTGACCTGGATTTTAAGATGGAAGCAGACAGGAACCTTCAGAGATATGACATATGGAAGCAGTCCTACATAAAAGCTTGTGCTTCCATTGACCAAGATCTAAAGCAGCATACTGAGATTAATTCCTTTCAAAGTGGTACTACAGCTTTGACAATTATCAAACAGGTTATCCATTCTCGTGATATGGTATCTTTAAATATTAGTATTTGATTTACTTCTCTGCATCTAGAAGTGATTTGGTTATATGTTAATTTTGTCCAACTTTGCATATTTAATCATATATATATATCATTTCCAATGCATACAGTTCCTTTCATTTGTTTTACTTGGTTACATTCATGAAAAAGAGCCACACTGAGCCTACCCAAAAATAACGGAGGAAACAAAATTAAGGAAATGGTACGGTGAAATTTAGATTTCGGGTAAAAAGTAATAGTTTATCGATAATAGTTTAATTTTGATTATGATGCTCAACTTGATTGATGTCACCTTCTTACTCAAGCTGGGAAGACAGGTACTGAGCTGTAAGTTATAAGTTGTTTTGTCTAAGTAAATGTTCCTTCAGTTGTGATCAGGAATAAATAGAGGTAGTTTACCTCCCAAGTTCTGTTGTTATTTGTTAGAAGCTCTTGGTTTCTTACAATCCCTAATACTTAAAAAAAATTCCACCTTTACATTATTCACAATTTCACATTAACCGTGTAATTTTAGTGCCTGTTTGATTACGTCTCATAATCAATTTTACTCACTGTGACGCACATTCCAATATAAAATCTGCGGCTGAGAATAGTATAGTCAAACATTTGATATTTCAATCATATTCCAAAATTCAAATTCAATTTTACCAAATCCGGGCACGAAGGATACTAAATGGTAAGAGTATGTTAATCCTTTTTTAAACTCTCAACTTGTTTCATAAACTCATCATTCATGGATGCCATGGAGTGCAAAAATCAACTCAAAATTATTCGTAATTGAAAGTTCACAAAATGGTAGTGTTGTTCATATGGGGTATAGGAAGACTTGGACATGTGCAGCCTTACACTGGAAAAGCTGTTTCCACAACTTGAACTTGTGACCACCGAGTCACAATCATTGCACCAAGACTCACCCTCACCCTAATAAGATAAGATAGGGAATACTTAAGAATCAATTATAGATTATCATCCATATTTTCCCTAGTCTTGAATTAATAATGAAGCAATTATGTGCTAGTTGATGACAAATTTGGAATGAGCTCTAAATTTTAATATTTATACTATGTCCGGGCTCGATGTATTAATCAGAAGTTACCTAAAGTCCTTGTCACAAGCATTTCAGGGTGAACATCTCATTATAGGAAACGTTGGTGACTGTAGAGCTGTTTTGGCGACCACTTTAGGGGATGGCACATTAACTACGCTTCAGCTTACCACTGACATGAAGCCAAATTTACCAAGTATACTATTTCGCTCTTACACACTCTCACAACAAAGTGGTTTTATTTATGAAAAGAAAATTGAGTCATTGTTTTTGGTTAACTTCAGAGGAGGCAGAGCGCATAATGCAATGTAAAGGGCAAGTATTTTGCATGGGAGATGAACCAGGAGTGTACAGGGTTTGGATGCCTAATGGCAAGTCCCCGGGACTAGCAATATCTAGAGCATTTGGTGACTACTGTTTAAAGGATTTTGGACTCATTTCTGTCCCAGATGTCACACAAAGAAAACTAACCACCAGGGACCAATTTGTCATCTTGGCTACAGATGGTGTATGCACCTTATTTCTTTCTACATTTCTCTTTGATCATACAATGACTCCTTTTATGGTCAGACTTTAGTTTAACATAGAAGAAAACAAAGGGTTTTAAGAAAAGGGTCTTGTTAACAAGTATCTTAAGGACACTAGTTAAGAAATTGAAAATGGTAAGTTTATGTTGAAAAATTATAGAAAGTGTATTTATAATGTTTTTTAACAAAAAAAAAATTATTTTTAGCTCTGTAATTATTGCTTTAAAGACACTCGTTAAATATTTTTATTTAAAGAAAAAGCTAGACAATAGTTTCATGAATAATGTTGTGTATTTTATCTAATGAAAATAAATCTGTTAGTATAAACAACGTATATTTAAGTGACCAATAATACAATGCATTATATATTATGTGGGTATGGGAAATCAATTCTATCGGTATATCATATAATTAAGATTTAAATGCGTCCTAATTTATAGAATTATGAATCTGAACTTGTTTAGGAAATTTATTTACTTGCTTCTTTTTTTTTCTATATCAGGTATGGGATGTTATTTCCAACGAAGAAGCAGTGAAAATTGTTGGTTCAGCGCCACATAAAGAAAAAGCAGCTGAAAGGCTGGTGAACTACGCCACACATGAATGGAAACGTAAGAGAAGAGGCATTGCTATCGATGATATATCAGTTATTTGCCTCTTCTTTCACTCTTCTCACCACTAAAGTTGTCCAGTAAGAATGGAGGGTCATATCAAAACGAACATTGCTGCTTCCTTATGACACATTATGCTAAGGCATTTATTTGCATGTACACTTAAAATTCTCCATGCTTTAGCTTGGACTGTAGTATTTATTTGCATTTCCTCTTTTGTGAAACTTTTTGTAAGGTGAATTTGTCTCCAAAAAAACCACAGAACTTTTCTTTTTAGTGATTTTGAGAAAACCATCGTCATTACTTATTACTAGTTAGCGGTATTGACTAAGATATTTGTAAGCGTATTGTATATCCTTAATTTCCTGAACCAAGGAATAAATTAAAATAAAATAATTTATTTAAAGTGATCTATTTTTAAAATAACTTATTTATATTAATTAATGATATGTCATTAGAGTTTAATTATTTATTAGCTATAAGAAAAATTGCACGAAACGTATAAACTCTAAATAAGCTAAAGAAAACCCACATGATCATGCAAAGGGAAGAGAAAGTAAAATGTATTTTATCCGTATAAATTTGTTGTCGTCAACACAATAATACATAACATTTTCCGTACGGAGTATGTTAGTTATTACATTTAGGGAAGATTGACCAAAATATCCTTAACATTTGTTAAAATGACCACTCCACCACTTTAGACTTAATCACTTAAAGCAACTTCGTCTTTGCGCGGCGTCTCCAAACCAAGCAGCAGTTGCTCGACGATGGTCATAAGCGCCACTTTCTTAAACTCACACTTCCAACTCTCTCTCGCCTCTCACGCGTCCCATCAACGCGCCACTCTCTCCCTCTTTCCAACCTCTATTTTTTCTCTCTCCAAAACCGCCATGTCCTCCGCCACTCTCAGATCATCTTCTCCGACCAGCCACCAACCACTCGCCGTCGCGGAACTCAACGACGAGTCCGACTTCGAACCTCTCCTCTCACCTGACGGTTACATCTCCATCTGCGGCTTCGGCTCTCTCCTCTCCGGTGAGTAATCTTAACCACTAATCACCTTCACTTCACCTTCCATTCTTCATCGTCACTGTAACCGCCCTTACTTCTTTTCAGAGAGAAGCGCCCGAAGCACTTTCCCCGATTTGGCGAATTTCAGAATTGCTCGGTTGAACCAGTTTCGCCGCGTCTTCGCTCACGTTGCTCCGGTTTTCTTCGAGCGCGGCATTGCCAAGCCCGAAACCATGGTTCGCTCTAAATTTTCATGTTTTTATTTTGAAATTGAAAAAATATATGGAAAAATTTGTGACGTAGTTTGTTCTCGGTATAATTGGAATGAACATTAGAGATATGATGTTTTCGCTATGTGTTAATGAAAACGTTATTAGGAGATATCAAGCTTGAGTGTAGAGCCATGTGAAGGGGAAACTCTTGTAGTAACAGTTTTTGAGATCAGAAAATCAGAGGTATAGTAGTGAATACTTCATTTTCAGATTCAATGTGTGCTAGTTTTTGTTAACTAAGCAGTGAAGCTAACGTTTTTGTGGTGATGAATTTTCAGATTCCAGATTTTATGAAGAGGGAGGTTGAGTTTCGGTTTCTTGCTGTAAGCTTTTAGATGTAGATTTTTTAGCCTTGTTGTTTTTGTATTTTTATTGTATTGAGAATTCATAAATTTTTTACATGTGGTGTTTTGAGATGTTTTGTTCTTTGTGTGTTAGGTTTTTCCTGAAACACTTGATGGCAAGCCTTTTGACTCTCCGGCGGTATGTGGTGGTTGATATTTTACGTGGCAAAGCATAAATTCTCTCTTTATTCCATTGAATCATAACAAATTTTGGTTGTTGAATTAGCAAGTAGTTATTTGATGCATCAAATTTTTCTCAGGTCCTTTGTGCCCGTTATAGTGATGAGGAATTTTTCAACATTAGATGTAAAGGTAATTTCTCATTTGAGCTCTACTTACACCATACTTGTGTATCCATCCTACTTTCAGTGGTTGTTTGGGAGAGGGACGGAAAGGGAGGACATTTTTTTTAATTCTTAAATTAGTAGAATTATATATTATTTGTGATAATAAATAAATGATTAATGTATTATGTTTTTGTCAATCTATCCTTTGTTTCTTTAATTCTGAAAAATTATCAAATTAAGGTAGAAAAAATTCCCTCCTCTCTCCTTCCCTTTAAAACCCTACTTCCCAAACCACCCCTTAGTGTTTGTGGATTTATATGCCTGCATCCATTTTTTTGGCATAGGTGATAGTATCTTCTGCTCCTGAAACTGACTAGAGAAACTGATTAGAGAGATGCGCAACTAATTTCTTTGTTATTGAACAGAGTTGTACTCATGGAAAAGCTCACTAGGACATGAATGATCAAAGTAGAACGTGTATTTATTTTGTGAAGTGTTAACACGTTCTCCAAGTTATTACTTACATGACAAGCTTTGTTTTCCTAATAAACTGACATATTGAAACAAATTCAGTAAAGATTCGCCGATGATATTAAGGTTTTTCTGCAAAGGAGAGAGGAGACCCTATAAGTGATCATCAGCTGCTTTCATATTATGCATAGACACTTAACCCTATCCAACCCTGAACATATAAAGTTCTAATCGGTCACTTCAAATTTCTGTTCTTCTTGTGTCAATTTTATATATGTCTGCTTTTTGGAATGCTTTCTATAATCAGTATATTCCCAGGTTTCCTCGATATTTCAAGACTTTCTGGCCAGGCCGGAGGTTGCAAGAATTTGGTGATAAGAATTTTTTCTAATCATATTATTATTTGGTGATTGCTAAATTTTACATAAAAATCAATCTGAAAGTCTAGTTTTTGTATGCCCCTTTGTCATACCTTGGATTGTTTCTTCTTCTCTTTTGTCTTACTCTTGCTTACCTTACTGTTCATTCAGGAAACAAGGAAATTTATTGTCAGCAATATGGACGATGGAATATAGATAAAATTTGGAGAGATGATGTGTTACCTTGCCGTGTTTATCTTCGACACTGGTAAGGACTTTTTGGATGAAAGCTCATTTACTATTTATTTATTAGATGTTGAAGAGGGAAAATAGTATTAGCTCACCACTTTTCATCTGGATTTCTGCTTAGCTATTGTTTTCCGGGTCAAATGATCCTTACAGTTGGAGAATCATTTCAATACTACACACACTCAAATAAAAATACATGGTTCAAAATAATTTAGGCACAGGTCTTAAAAATATACGACGATTCAAAATCAATTTTACTCAACTTTAAACCAAACATATATTGAATCATATACGCAACTGACATGGGTAACATTTCTTCTCTTTCTAGTTTCTATTTATTTTCCCCTTGACATGTTTCACATACCCCTTCTCAATTTGCATTCAACGTGGGAAACAACAGAGATTTAGTTTCATGGAGACCAAATAGTACCATAGCGGAGCAAAGCTTTCCTTTCCATTATTTAAACCTGGACTACCGTTGGATTCCATGTAAATTAACAGTGTTAATGAATGTTTTTGTAGTGTACTGGCAGCAAAAAATCTGGGCGAAACAGCGTACAACAACTTTCTGGAGCACACTTATCTTGCTGACCGTAAAACAACAATTGGTGAGTACTTGGCAACAACAGGTTCTGGCATAATGGAAGAACAACCCCCTGAATCCCTCAAGTACCGCTATGGTGGTTGATTTTTACTGCTTTAGACATGTCAATGAAAAGTGGTGGCTGCAGATGTGTTGAACGGCCTAATTCTTGAGGAGAAAAACGGAACATTCTTCAATAACTCATTCACGCCATTCAAGGTGCTCATGCAATATGAGGGTCTATATTGCTTGTTGATATTAAGAGTTTTAATGAAAAATATATATATTATATATACCTGAACCAAGTTCATATCAAGTTTAACAAGCTCAACTTACAGTTCATAAACCAAATTTAAGCAGATAATCAACGAATTGAATCTTGAACTAATCTCAAGTTGAATCATTTCATTGCCAAAGCATAATCCAGATGATTTTGCTAAAACATAATCAACATTATTTTTTTCAGAATATTTGTGATAATAAATAAGTTTAAAAAAGAACTTTGAAAGATTGTTGTTAAATTAGGAGCCATGTCAAACGTTTTATTATAAGAATATATATATATATATATATTCATTTAACTTAAAATCTAATAGCTAGTAATAAATTATAATTCATTAGATTTAAGTTAAATAAAAATTTTATATTATGACTAAGAGTTTTTAAACTTATACGGTTGTAAAGAGATTTTATTTTGTATATATAGAAAACATGTAACCTTAAAGCGTTTTAGCATTTGTCAATGAATCGAAATTCAAATATAAATTATAAAGTACATTCCACATATTTTTAAATAAATTATGAAATTTGTATAATTTATTAAAAAAATTAAAAATTATTTAAAATTATAATTTATATATATATATATAATTTCAAAATAAATCATTTGGTTCAAATATCAAATACAAATTTTCTTTTAATATTTTTGGTATATTTACAAGACAAAAATCTTATATTGATTCTTTATAAAATCTCATTGTAACTTAGAACAACAGGCAATTATGCTTTATTTTTTGTTAATTTCTTAGGTTTTTTTAATGTGTTTTTAAAATTAAAAATATACAATAAAATTTATATATAATAATTTTTATTTAAAACAATAAAATGTTACAAATTCTATCTATTAAAAATATTTAATTTTTTAATTAAAAAAATATTTATTTAACTTTTTTTAACACATGTATACTTACAAACATTAAAAAAAAGTTTTTAATTATAAATGAACTTACCCTCTAATTTAATATACGGAAGATATTGAATGTAGTACAACAGGCTCACCAATGTGAAAAATGAGCAACTCCGCCACCCACCTATTGTCAAAGCATCTGATTCTTTAGTCATTGCGCTGCGTCTCCAATTAAAGCAGCACTTAGCTCCACGATGATCCAAAGCGCCACTTCCTTAACCTCACACTTCCAACTCTCACTCGCCCCTCGCGCGTCCCGTCAAAGCAGCACTCTCTCCCTCTTCCCAACTTCTACTCTTTCTCTCTCCAAAACCGCCATGTCCTCCGCTACTCTCCGATCATCTTCTCCAACCAGCCACCAACCACTCGACGTCACTGAACTCAACGACGAGTCCGACTTCGAATCTCTTCTCTCTCCCAACGGTTACATCTCCATCTGCGGCTTCGGCTCTCTCCTCTCCGGTGAGTAATCTTAACCAGTAATCACCTTCACTTCACCTTCCATTCTTCATCGTCACTGTAACCGCTCTTACTTCCTTTCAGAGAGAAGCGCCCGAAGCACTTTCCCCGATTTGGCGAATTTCAGAATTGCTCGGTTGAACCGGTTTCGACGCGTCTTCGCTCACGTCACTCCGGTTTTCTTCGAGCGCGGCATTGCCAAGCCCGAAACCATGGTTCGCTCTAAATTTTTATGTAATTTTGTGACATTAAACAAATATATGGAAAATCTGGCGATGTGATTTGTTCTATCTTGTTGGAATGAACTTAGAAATTTGATGATTTTGAATGAAAACGTTATTAGGAGATTTCGTGCTTAAGTGTGGAGCCATGTGAAGGGGAAACTCTTGTAGTAACGGTCTTTGAGATTAGAAAATCAGAGGTACAGTACTGAGTAGTGAATAGCAGTGTTTTAAATTGAGGTTGCAGTTGTGTCACGATCCTTGCTATTACAGATAAATTGACCAGGAATATGCCAAAATACTCATTATAAAACTTCAGCAAACATCTTCCTATGGGATATTTCTACCGGTGACCCAACATTCAAATATATTATAATACCATGTTAGAAAACTAAGCTTTATAAGGAGTATTTTGACACTATTCCCAGTCATCTTAACAGCTGCAATTGCCGATGCTGATCGCAATTTAAAACACTGTTGAGTAGTTCAATTTCAGGTTCAGTGCATACTGGTTTTTTATCAATGAGAAGTGAAGCTGACTTTTTGTGGTGATGAATTGTCAGATTCCAGATTTTATCAAGAGGGAGGTTGAGTTTCGCTTTCTTGCCGTAAGTTTGTAAAAGTAGATTTTGAGCCCTTCTGCTTTTGTATTTTGATTGTATTCGGATAATTTTGGAATGTGGTCGTTTGAGATGTTCAGTTCTGTGTCTTAGGTTCTTCCTGAAACGCTTGATGGCAAGCCTTTTGACTTTCCAGCGGTATGTGGTGGTCTATATTTTATGCGGCAAAGCATAAATTTTCTGCTTATTCCATTACATTGTAACAAATATTGGTTATTTGATTAGCAAATCAGTCATTTGAGGCGTCAAACTTTTCTCAGGTCCTTTGTGCCCGTTACAGTGACGAGGAATTTTTCAACATTAGATGTAAAGGTAATTCTCATTATTGATCTACTTACACCAGACTTGTATGATTAGATGTCAAGGTAATTCACAGGAGGATGGACAAAAATGATGGAATAAGAGGGAATGAGTTCCATTAGATTACAGATTACATCCTTTATTTACTATCCAAACAATGGACCTTAAATATATTCCATTCCATCTCCTTCCACCAATCCAAATATAGTCTTAAATTTATCTTCTTCTTGTGTCAATTGTATTTGTCTCGACTTTTTGGGATGTTTCCTATAATCAATATATTACAAGATTTCCTCAATATTGCTAGACTTTCTGGCTAGGCAGAAGGGTGCAATGATTCATTAGATGAAAAGAATTCCTTCCAATCATAGCATTGTAGGTTGTTGCTATATTTCACTTGAAAAAATAATCTTGAAGTCTATGTAATGTATGCCCGTTGTCTTACTTTATATTGTTTCATGTCCTCTGTCTTTATCTATGCATATGCTTATTCAGGAAACAAGGAAATCTACTTTCAGCAATATGGACGATGGAATATAGATAAAATTTGGAGAGATGATGTGTTACCTTGCCGTGTTTATCTTCGACACTGGTAAGCACTTTTTTGGTGAATGCCCATTTTCTATTTTTATTGATTTGAGGGGAAATAGTATAAAATAACACAATTCATCGGGATTTCTGGTAAGCTATCATTTTCCAGTTCAGATGATCCTCACTGCCAGATGCATAATACTGAATCATATATGTAACTGACAGCAGTTTTCTTAGGTGACGTTTCGAATGTGTGACTTGGATTGCTTCAGTTCACAAATTCATGGGCAACATTGCTTCTTTCTAGTTTCTGTTTACGTTTCCCCTTGACAGTTCACATATCCATTTTCAATTTGTTTTCAATGTGGGAAACAATAGAGATTTAGTTTCATGGACACCACAGTACCATAGCATAGCAAACGTTTCCTTTCCATTATTTAAAACCCAGTCTACTGTTGGATTCCATGTAAATTAACAGAATTAGTGAATTTTTTTGTAGTGTACTGGCAGCAAAGAATCTTGGCGAAACAGCCTATAACAACTTTCTAGATCACACTTATCTTGCTGACCGTAAAACCACCATTCGGGAGTACATGGCAACATCAGGTTCTGGCATCATGGAAGAGCAACCCCCTGAATCCCTCAAGTACCGCTATGGTGGTTGATAATTCCAAATGGCAAATGGATTGAACGGCTTGATTCATCAGTAGAAAAACCGAACATACTTAAATCATTCATTAACGCCATTCATTCTTCCGATTTGCTCCATGTCAAGCCTAAGAAATACAATTCACCTGAGCATGTGAAAGAACTTTGTTTTTGAAAAAGAGCAATCACATTATTTTTTACCTGTTTGGGAATATAACATTATCAGTGCCCCAATAATGTGTTTCATGTAGATATAGATACAGAAACAAAATCTAGTCTTTTGTCTTTGGACGAACCCAACTCCGTATCCCACCAATGCCTGTTACTGTCAAGACTACAGGGTTCCCCCTACATATTGTATGCTATGGGATTGTATTCAGATCTATATGAAATTATGGTTCCTTCTACTTGATTCTTTTTATTTTAATTCTTAAATGAAAAAAATTCTATAATGTAGTTGGAAAGAATCGCCTATTTTCTATATGCGATAGTATTTTTTTTTTTTTATGAATTTAATTTAAATATATTGATAATAATAAAAAAAAATTGCACTCATTTAATCATAAACTACCATATCATAAAAAAGAATCAATGTAAAAATCTTTCTATTGAGAATGTAATAAAATTATATTTTTTCTTAAATTTGTGGACTAATGCTTTATTTTAGTTCTTTGATATATCATTTTTTAGTTTAGTCCCTCAATGAAAAATATACTAACTTCATTATAACTTAAACACATAGTGAGAGGATTAATTTGTTAAAAAAAATATGTAAAAGCAAATAAACAGCAATTCACGTACTGGAAATAAAATTATAATTTAACCTATTATGAATGTCTTACATTTATGAATGATCTAGTTGCTGTAAAGTCACGGATACTAAGCAAATAGCAAATATAAGTGATTACTTATCTATCTGTAAATATTAAGTCTCCATTCTTAAAAAATACTAAATGAAAGTGTTCATAATAATTATTTTCTTCTTTATTATACTGCGATTGTTTTATATCGAGTATTTATTTATTTTTTTATGAATATTTATTGCTATCAAATGCCATGTTTTATTTTAATTTCAAATTTTGTGATTTAAATTTTAAATTTTGATACACTATATCAAATTATTTTTAAAAAAATGAATCTTAAAATTTTGATAATCTTAATTTAAATATAAATTTTGACATGTAATGAAAAAAATAATAAATTCAATCTTAATTCAAAATATTTATATTTTTTATTTTAAAATATTCTCTTTGATTTAATTTTATTCAACATTAAATTTAGGACAAAACTTGGTACATTTGGTGTCATTTATTAATCAAAATTAATTTTACCTCTATAATCTATAATAATACTAAATATAAATATTTTAGTAAAATAAAATTCTAATTTTAATAAGTAAATAACATAAATTACATCCTTAAATTTATTACACTTAAGGATAATTATACAATATATCATTACTCTTTTATTAAAAATTAATTTAATTTTAAAAATAATTGAGTATTACGGGGAAAATTCAATAGTTAGAATAAGTTTTTTTTGGTCAAATTTCACTAAACCGGTGCATTGATATAACGTGTTAACTCCAACATCGCACCGCAAGGGCTCCGAGGTGGGACTAAAGAATAACTCTGAACCCGATCCCCAAGTGGTTTAGAAGGCGCAAGGTAAACGGTGCAAGCAAACCATGCATATGCATTGCATGCACAGTATAACCAAGATGTTCTCCTGGAAAGGGGCAGAGGGATAAAAAGAATAAATAACTGAAATCTGTATTCACTAATAATTTTCCAATTTCTATTTTGTTTTTTTGTCACTTTAAAATATTACAGCTGCTATCCATCTCTAGTTCTCGGATTAAAAGTTCCATCATCTTCTTATACATTGGCATGTAATGATCATTTATCATCGTTCTTGAAAGTCTCAGCTTGCTGTACAGCTCTCTAGGTGTTTCATATAAGCAGACATGTTCTTCTACTGGGTCATCAGAATTTGAATTTGAACTTGACTCATCAGATGAAGAAGGAATAGAGACAATATGCATAATCCTTCCAGGGGGATAAAATCGATGGTTGTCCATGTTGTCTGATGTTGTGATTGAATTGCTACATTCTGCAGCATCAACAAGTTGATTCTCTTCTTCAGTGATCTCTTTTGCTGCTGCAGCCTCTTCTTGAGCATGAATATTCATGCTATCATCTTGTTTCTGAAGCTCCTTCTCCAGTTCATACCATAACTGCCCTTCTGTGATGTCACCTACAGTGGATGCTGTAATGTCTTGATTAGCAGGAACCAGTTGTTCCTCCTCATCTGTGTCATCATGCCCAGATCCTCCACTTGAGCATATACTTTCATCCTTAAGCATAGGCTCTCTTACAACCCCTTCGGTCAATAGAGATTCAGGGCTTCTGTCAGATATTAAAGAGACTTCAGTTAAGTCCTCTGTTTTAGAGTTTAACGATGGACTCACGTTTCGGCGCCGTGCACTCATGCAAGACCATGATGACAATGATGATCGAGTTCTAACAACAGCTTCAGCAACACTTTGTGCGCGTCTCATCACAACCTGCAAGTATAAAACAGGAACTCCATCAGATAAATGATGCATTATATATATATATGGGAAATCCCTGAAGAAAACAAAATTCTAGTCACTGTCAAGATGAATGGATAAAAGATAGCTACAAATTTTCCCAATTTTTAATGAGTTCCTAATTGAAAACTAAATCCCAAAGAGCATCCATATTGTCAATTGGAGATCAGAGAGGTTGAAGTTGAAGCTACCTGAGTGCCACTGGTTACAGGCCACAGAATAGCACCAGCACCGGCTACCCTAGCTTTTGCGCTAGATATAGATGGTAAGCGAGATCCAAGTGCAGTTGCAGAGCGGTAGACAACATTCAGGACTTTTGTATGTTCTACTTGATCCCGCAAATCATTCAACCATGAGGATGCGGTGACCTGATGAAAACCAACTTGAGTAAGAAGCAGAGAACGATTACATCACAAATTAAGGGGAGTGTCTATTGCAACTCCAATGCAATCTATTACCACTGCTAATTAACTTTTATATACTTTTTGTTAAATTGTTAGTTTGATTAACAAAGAAAAAAGGCATTTAAGATAAAAACTATTTGAACAAAAGGGGCAAAACCCTCCACAAATTAAGTAATAAACATTAATGTTCATCTCAAGTCGTAGCTACAGCACCTCAGAACGGAGATCATCAATAGATGAAGTTGAGAATGTTGGCACCAAGTCAGAACCATTTATGATGGTAGTTATAAAGAGCTTGCCCGATTCTGCTAACTCCCATGTCATACAGGCAGCTGCAAAAGAGACAATTATGATACAAGGAATTAGCAACAGTAATATAATAAGACTGGAAAGGTTCCCATATTCGAGAAAATTCAATGTCATAAAGCAAATCCAGTAAAAAAAATAAGCAAACAGAATCATGGACAACAATCATACTAGACACATTCTTCACTCATCTCCCCTTTAGTGTTTATTCAGAAAAGTAACTAGACACTACTTAAATTTTACAATTATGACGCAAAAATAGACATGCTTGCTATTAAGTGTTAAAACCGTAATAGAAAATCAATACTTCTGCATCAAACAAATAATAAGAAAAATAAAAGCTACATGGATACACTGCATCTCATGCTTGACAATAATAATGTGCAGAAGTAATTGGAAATCTTACATGCCACCAGAAAATTTAGTGAACTTGCATGCACAAACAATCTAGATAATGAGATGGAGTTATAAAAAACGAAAAACTAATGAATAATCTAATTGTTCAATTCAAAAAATTCATATGTAAAGCAGTATAAATACATGCCTGGGGCAAATGTGACACATGTGCTTGAAGACAACTCTTTCTGCTCTCTAAGAATGTATGTTAACAGTGCAGCAGTACCACCACCGAGTGAGTGCCCAACAATCTATAGAAAGATAAAAAAAGGATAACTTTTACATAAACATACAGGCATGTGTATAATGGCCACAAGATAGAATACAAAATGAAATGATATTTTGAAACCAAAAAAAAAATAAAAATCTTGGGTAATAAGGCATAACATAACAAACAAAGAAAGGAAAATAAAAAAAACTGATACTAGAATATATCCTTTACTGGGTGAGTTATCAGTTTAGTATACACTGATGTAATGATATATAGTTTTCCAAATAAAATATTAGAAAAATACCTTGACTTTGAAGTCTGGACATTCACCAAGAGCCTTAAGAAGGGTAGGAGTGCAGAGCTTTGCAATCCAACGAGCAGCAGCAACCATGCCACAGTGTGCATATCCTAAAACTAAGTTGCTTATCCCACCATCATTTAAAACTGAATGGTGGAAAGGGACAACAGCTCCAGTTGCAGCTGTCAGGGTGTCTTTTATGCTATGTGTACCCCGGATTAATAAAAGTAAACATTTTGACTGCGTATCACGTATAATTGTGAATGCGGGCTTCAGAAGCTGAAAATATATATATATCATGCCATAGAGTCAAATTGATGAAAAATGATGAAAACAGATGCATACCATTCCATGACAAACAAAACATTCAATAAAATTTAATGACTAACATATGGAGATAGTGCCACGATAATTTCAGTATTAAAATACAAGTCAACACTCAGCATGTACAAGGCAGTAATATTAATGATATGTATATAATGGTACCATTAACCACCATCCTATACTAATGTAGACAATCATATTGACCTCACGTTTCTATTTTTCCCATTCCTTCCTTTGAGAGCATTTTTTAACAAGTCATAGAATCGTCAAATAGTGATAAAATAAAATGAGCAACCCAATTTATAATCTGATAGGGAATTTATAACATCTCAGTTTTTCTATAATATAAATCCCCCTTGTGGATGCATGACAGTAATAGTTAAGTCTCTGACTGCTTGAACAGATTAGTCCATGCTCAACCAACATTCCAGGCTAGACTCAATACTGACAGTTCAGAGGGCAGGGTAGCAGATGCGGAAAAAAAAAGGTAGTTGCCGTAAAGCTATTTGCTATAGGGTAAGATAAAACATTGACAGAGTAAAAAGAGAACACAGTAGCCTTATTTTATATACTCACTTTAACCTCTTGTGGATATAAATTCGTTAATATGCATTTTGTATGTCCCATTCATGCGAAAACCAACGCATGAACCAAGTGATTGATTTTTATTTATTTTTTAACTAATTCATTAACCAATATAAACCCTTTTGAATTTGTACAAATTCATGACAGAAATTGTGTATATATTATCTCTCCATATTTCACAAGGGGTCTTCACCAGTGTCAGCACATATAACCAAATCTGAGAACGAGGATGAACAGTGAAAGTAAGAGCACTTCGTGTCTCACGCAAGGATATAAATACCAATTTAATAGACCTAACAAAAACTCATTCTTTTTGTGGTAAAGAATATGGTTTTATTTCAGCATATAAAATATTTATACAGACAGGATCAAAGCAATGACCTTCGGATTCAATTCGTTGGCATTTCCTTCTAAATGGTGATGAGAATTAGGCCACTATCTCTAAACCCATCAAGATGGCTGAGACTGAGTCAAAGGCTCAGCAAGCGTGTGTGTGATTTGTCCTACTCCTTTCCACTAATCACCCCCAAAATATAAAATAAACATAAAAAAAAAACATAGAGACAGAGAGCGGATAAAGACAAAGCATACCCCAGCTTTAGGCTTCTGAATGAGCACATCATCAAGGGAAAATCCAGCAGAATCTAAAAAAACAGGAAACGGCTTCTTGGAGAAAAGCATACACAGTGTCAAAAGCCTCAACAGTTCATAAAGCTCCACAATTATTTCATCCCCTTTCAGCTGTACACAATCACTACCCGCATACACACTCGCAACTCGCAAATTACCCTGCAACCATCACACACCCATTACAAAAACACTCAAATTTCATAAACAATCTACAGAAAGCTCGAACCTTTCCACAACCCCAGAAAAGGAAAAACAATGAAATTGACTACAACTAGAGAAATTCACCTGCTTCCGCATAAAGTAGTTGATACCAAAGGCCAAATCGCCGATGGGCCATTTTCCGAAGGTCTCGGAATACGTAAACCTCAACGTCTCTGACAACGTCACGATCGATTCCAGCAGCGTCGCCGGCGCCTGAGCCGGCCGCCGGGAAAATCTTCTCCGGCGAAGCGATCTACTCGATTTCGACACGTCGCCGCCGGCGTGGTCCTCGCCGTCGTCCTCCGCCTTTCTCGCCAGCCTCCGACTTAGCACGTAGTAGAGCATCACCGCCGCTCCGGCCGCCGTCGCCATTGTCCCCGCCGCCATGCGTTGTCGGAGATCGGCCACGCGCCGAAACAACCGTATCAAGAATCGAAGAACCGCAAGAAATGAACGAAACAGAAACGAATTACTTTGGGGGAACAAATGGGGTTTAGAAAAAGATGAAAATTTGGGGTTTTGAGTTGTGAAATGTGAGAAACGTAACAGAGAAACCGAAGTACAGAGAAGATGGTTTTTCTTTCTCCTTATGGGGAAGGTTTGTTTACTTGGGAACACATCATCTGAACAAGATGCTGAGTTACTATTATGTTTAATGACTAAAAGGCCCTTTCTTATTTTGGAATTTCGGGATAATTCCGGGGTATATTGGGTAGGGCGAGGCATTATGATGACTGAGAGAGTGAACACGACGTTAGAGACACAAAGGAATAACAAAAATAGGTTTATTTTATTTTCTTAATTATCTTTTAACAATTGTTTACTAGTTTATAAAATAAGTACTTAATAAAATTATGTATTTATTATCTTAAAATATAAAATAAACTAATTTTTATTTAATAATTAGACGAATTTATAGAAAGAAAAATTATTCTAACAAAAACCATGTTAAATTTGCTTAATTAGTTTCCATTCTAGTCAAACCTTGTTAATAAATAATTAATGCTAATTAAAAAATAATTTTTAAAATTAATATGCAAATATTAGTTTATGTTCGGAATAATATTTAATTTTTTTAAATTTTAATTTTAATAAAATAATAAAATAATTTTAAAAAAAATAAAAGAGTAAACATTTTTTAAAAACTTTTACGAGTTTTAAAACATATTAATAAGCATTCACGTTCCATTAAACCAGTTATGTTGACTACCAAATTAGCTTTGGAGAATCATTAACTTACCAAAACAAGATAGGTTATCCTGCTACTCTATTTTTTTACGATACAATTTTTGTTAGGCACCTAAAAATAGATATAAAATGTTTTTATTTTAAAACATATATCTACATGTAACGCACCAATAAATCTATATACACATTAAAAATCGTTATGTTTTAAATTCATTACAAATTCAACTAGGCAAAATTAAAAAAAAAAAAGTATTCTCACTCATTACAAAATCAATTTAATCTTTTTCTAAATTATAAGCATTATATTCAAATTAGATAAGATTATTATGGATAACTAACTATTATTTTCGAGTTCCTGCTGGCTGATACAAGTGTTTGGTAGTAAAATATGTTAATTAATTGAAAGAGAAGTAAATGGGAGGATATTTTATTAACTTAATAATGTTTAAAATATAGAAAAAGAAAGTGAGAAAGTGGAAGATAAGGACAAGGAGGGGTTTGAGTGAAGCGGTGCGGTAGGATTGGTTGGTGGGTGGATCCAACCCAACATTGACCCGTGCATAGTTTATGTATTATATACTATTTTCTTGCAAATTAAATATTACATCTATCGCTAGTTTTTGTATTTTATTTATTATATAGTATTTTCTCTTCATAATAGCATGTGGTTATTATTGTAACTTTTACAAATAAAAGGTGGGAGTGTCTCATTACGTGGTTGCAATACTCCCACGTAAAGATCAGTGCTATGTTGATGTGTTTGTCCGTAAATTATTCATCCACTAATATTTACGAATTATTATTTTTTATACAATGGATACTTTCACTCTTAAAAGTGATAGCTTGTACTGATTTAGTATTTAAAAGTTTGTATGTGTATAACTTGTTCTTGAATTTATCTATTTTATGATAAATTTGGTAATGGAAATAATTAATTGGTCATGAAATCGATAAATTCAAAGACTAAATTATATATGTAAATTCTTTTAGGATTTAAATAAACCCAAATGACCAATTTAATCTGGAACACAATATTATATATCTAACTGGCATTCCTCAATTTACTTATCTCACTAAGCAACGTACCTAAACATTTGCTTATTACAATGTATGGAAGCAGAAACGTGAAAGCAACTCAACGTCTGGCTCTGGTCCATCACTTTTACTTTGCAAGTGGTGTGTCGTGGGTCTCTAAAAACAGCTCTCGTTTAAGTTTGCTGTATATATAAAATAATTATAATAATTTTAAGTTGAAATAGAAAACATTTACGAGATAAAAATGTGACATCATTTGTAAAATTTATCAACTATTTTTTTTATAATTATATTATAGGTGAAAGTAGTCCAAAAAAAATGTCATAATAGGTCCCATATAAGATTTTTTAATAAAAAAATTAAAAAAGTTGAGAGAGTATTATTGTTAAAAATGCTCTAAGCACCTACGACCCTATAAATTTATTGCAGAATATATGCGACGAATACGAAACTAATGATACAATAATGAGATTATGATAAGCCAACTTATTTAAAGTTTTAAATATGTATATTAGCATCTTAACATACACAATAAGATCTTCCACCTAATCCTTCTGCAATCACTCAGCGAACAATTGAGGTCAAAGCAAGAAAATTTCAACGCCGCTTACCATTGTGATTGATGAATTAGTAGATGTTTGTCAACCATTTAATGTATAATAAATATTATAAAACTCATCAATTATAACTTGGATAGTATTTGGAAATTCAAGGTTTTATTTTTAAGATTATACTAATACTTCGATGGAGTGTTAACATCTTTTATTTCACTTTGATATTCTTGAAATGTTTATTGTGACAAAAAAAAATGATGATTCTCTTTCTGTTGGCATCAGGCAGATAAGATGGCAATGGTTGACTGTTGACAATCCCTCCTCTGCATCGATCACCATAATATGAAACCAAAGCTCCTTAGCCTCCATGATCCCCAATGAATTTGGGGTCTCGTTTGTAAAACAAAGCAATCCCAAACACAAGTTTTGATCTCTCTCATTATTATATTAGTTAATTTCAAGTCACACTTAATTAACTTTTCCAACTTATTCTCCTTTGTATTCAAGATATAATCTTACCAAGATTTTAGGATTTTAACCTTGAGTTTCTTTCCATTGAAAGATGGTGGATTAAAGTTAGCATTACTAAATTTATAGAATTTCAAGTAATTTCATGAGTTTAGTTACTGAAATGGTGAATGAAATTTTTTTAATTTAGTGGAACCCATGAAAAAGAAATGTTCAGGTGTAAACATGACAAATTAAATTTCTAAAAACACAAACTCCCATGTATAGAAGATATATTATGGGTTGTATAATGCATTTCTATTAATTAATATATGGGCAAAAGTCTTCACCTGTCTATATTTTAACCCACCTAATTTATTCTATTCTTATTTTTACTAATCCAAATACTATATTATTTCATTTTATTTCATCTTTATTTTATTCTTTATATTTCATTCCATTATCCAAACAAACCACAAAGTTTGGGCATCTCTCTTTTATCATTATACCATTGTGGATTTTCAATAGTGATAAACGGTGGGAGGTGTAATTGCAGTAACATTTTGATGTTAAGTGAATGCCCTTACAATGATAATGCAGTGGTGAGAGAGCAAGTAAAATATATGCATCATGGACATGTTCAAATCTTGTCCCTAACAATTTTTCACTTTCTCTCTTCCAGTCCCCCTCTTCGGCGACTAAAAAGAAGAGTAAATGAGTTAACAAGTACATGTTATTAAGTAGAATTAGATTATCATTACTTCAGGTTTAACTAGCAATCATTCTGGGTATTTGTATCAATAATTGTATATTTGTTCTTTTTTTATATCATATCGCTTGTTTTTTTCTTTTCTTTTTTACTGTTCTTTCAAACACTTAATACTCATTCATAGAATGAGTCTATTTATTTATTTATAAATTTAAATATTTTTTTAAAAATATGTAAAAGAATATTATTAAGAAGTAGATAATAATAAAATTACTAAATATCAGGTGAGGATTATACCATTATAATTTATACAACTACAGTTGTTACATTTTTAATCCTAACAATCTTTATTCCAACCCTAAACTTCATTTTCCCTCGTTCTAGACTTCTAGTCCTCAAAATACGAAACATTCTCTTCAACCTTGTGAATGACAAAATGGAAGTGTATCAATCTAAACTCATTTACCGATTGCAATCCTCTCTTTTTACCCCCAACAAAACGCTTTGCTTCCAACTCTATACCAACATTTACCTCAAACTCAAAGCAATCATCATTTTTGCTGCAACAATTTCATGACCAATCCATCAACCTATGTTTACGCACAAATGCCTCTTCTTCTGCTTCCTCTTCGCTTGCACACTCCTTTGCAGAGTCCTACCTCATCAACACCCTTGGCTTCTCACCCGAATCTGCTCTCAAAGTTTCCAAGGAAGCTCGTTTCAACACTTCCCAGAGGCCCGATTCAGTTCTTCACTTTTTCACCAAACTGGGGTTTCTCAACTTCCCACGTGCACCGCATCATCACAACGGAGCCATCGTTCCTTTCTTGCAATCCCCACAAAAGGGTTCTCCCAAAGTTTCAATTTTTACTCTCCAAAGGTGGTTCTGCCTCTGACATTGTGTTCATAGTGACCAAAACCCCAAGATTCATCTCTAAGCTTAACAATCACATTGTTCCCACATACGAATTGCTACATAGATTCCTGAAATCGGATGAGGACACCTTGGCTTGTATAATTCGCAACACACTTTTCCTTCTGTAGTAGTCACATGAGGCCTAATGTTAAATTGTTGATAGATTGTGGAGTTTCTGATTCGAACATTGTAATGTTGCTTCGTAAATGGCCTAGTATATTCTCCTCAATTCAGTTGCTTAAAGAGGTTGAGGAAGTGAAGGGGTTGGGTTTTGACCCTTCAAAATCAAGTTTTAGTACAGCGTTGCTGGCCAAACATACTGTCAGAAATTCGCATTGGGATGAGAAAGTTGATGTTTTTAAGAGTTGGGGTTGGTCTGATGAAACTGTTCTTGAAGCATTTAGGAGGCAGCCTAATTGTATGTTAGCATCATGTGATAAAATCAATGCTATGATGGGTTTTTGGGTGGGCGAGTTGGGTTGGGATGCTCTGGCACTTGTGAAAGGAACTAATTTTTTTGGGTTTAGTTTGCAGAAAAGGATCATTCCTAGGGCTTTGATTGTCCGGTATCTACTTGCAAAAGGTTTGATAGATAAGGATGCTAGCTTATTTACACCGTTCATAATTTCGGAGAAGATGTTCCTGCAGAAGTTTGTGTAGTGTTTTGAAGAGAATGAAACATCTCACCTGTTAAAGCTATATCAAGAAAAAATGGGTCTTTAAGAATCAAGATAATGGGGAGGATGGTAGCATTGGTTGTTATCGGAGGCTTAAATGACTGACTAGTCCAAATTTTGAGGATCAATCTTGTTATTTTTATGTGTCTCACTTGGATTGGAACCTTTCAAGGTATCATGGTGATGATGGTATGTGGCATTACTAAAGTAATTAACTAGTGAGTTGAAAATCCAGGTTGCTCAATCTTATTATTTTGTTTGAGCTGATTGAGGTAGTTCTCTTGTTCAAACTTCAATGCAGAAAAGAGTGTTCCTTTGCTTCTTGTTATCGTATTTCTGTGGTCAATAATTTGATATCCAGTTAACGCTTTAGTATTCAGTGCTCCATTTGGCTGTTTTTACATTTTAGAAGCAATATTGATTCACCTTCCTTGTCTGTTTGTTTATACGCCTTTTTAAGGCAATGTGTGTATTCATCTAACATGTTATCAGGAATTATGGGATTGACAAGTTGCTCAAATTTCTAACGGTTTTGCCAGATAAAATAATCTTCGGGAGCAAGGTGAAAATCAAATATCCTTTTACATTTTGTTTATGATTCAGTTTCAGCCAAAAAGTAGATTTGAATATTTGATAGCCATCTGAAATCATTGTCAAACGCTGGATTAATCTGAGTGACTGAATAAATATTCAGTTTTGTCTGTAAGATTTCTAATGTGAAAGCAAAGCTCGACATGAGGATAGCAGAGCTCCTTCCATGGGCATTTGAAGTTTTGAGCCTATAGAATATCAAGGTCTCTGCTTCATTTATTGTCAATCCAAGACGCAATGGCTAAGTTTGAGTCATTATCAACTACTAATATGAGGTAAACATCTGGTTTGAGTTTACCGAAACATGTTTGGTTCCAAAAACTGATAATAAAATCCGGTTTCAATGGCGCATTTCAATTCAGTTAATGTTTCAATTTGGTTTTACAATGTTTTTTTTTTTATATTTAAATGGTGTCCCTAAAGAAGCTTTTGACTTACTGTTGGTGTTGACTAATTTGGTAGTAGTAATTCAGTAATTCTCTTTCAGAACTGTAATTAATAAACTGTTATTACAAGTTTTATTATTGAAAGACAAACACATAGTGGGATTTATATCTCTGGTAGTGTTTACAACAAAGGTACAATGGGAGACAGAAAGAAACTAGAATATATTGCTCCCAGAAGCTACTTTTTCCTGTTTGATGCATTGATTTTTACAGCCATCCGGGTTGAAACAAGGCCCAAACCATGTTTTGCTAGGCCTTGCACAAAGATTTGCTTCTGCAAATTTCACCTCTGCATAAGACCATGAAAAGAAAGTCATGTGGGGTTAGCATTGGATACCCATGAATGAAATAGATGAATCAAATGAATAATTAATTGTAGTTTTACCCCATGTGGAGGAAAAGAGGAGGGGCAGGCAAAGGAACACGAAGATGGAAAATTTAGGAGCAAAGGATGCGGTGTATATATGCTTGCTAATTGTACACGAAAATTATGTCTTGTATCAAATGCATGGCCACACTTGTGAGTCATATATATGGCAAGATAAAAGACAATATGAATGCTTTTGATTCCAACATTTGAGCGAGTAACTCCACGCTGCCTCTTGGTGGCTTCAACTCCATCCATTGCTACAGCCTAAATAGCAGTGTATGTGTTGATTGTCATTTTCTTCTTTGTATTTCTGTGGTTAGAACTGCAATATTGATTCATGCCTCTCGATTTACTTTATACCTTTTAATATGCTGTCATTGATTTGTTGTTTTACTTCGCTGTATTAAGTAGAATAATTAATTTTAACTAGTAAAATTTTCATATTATTAAATTTAAATTAATTTTTAAAATACAAAATTAAAGATATCCTATATATTATTTTCAAATTTAATAAATTTTGAAATTTTTTTTAATAATTAATAATAATGGTGTTCCTAAAGAAAACTTTGACGCATATTACAACAACTTTTTTTCTATATATTTGTAATTTTAAATTTTTTTTGGGGTCAAGTTTATATTTGTAATTTAGACACTCGTAGCCTGGCACAATGCAATGCTGAACTGATTTGATTGGAGATTTTGGGCTATATAGAGTGGCAGTTTGTAACAAAAAATGAACTGGACTTGAACAATTGTTTCTTTGTGTGTTTTTTTTTTGCCAATGTTTCGTTTGTTGTTCTCATAATTTGCATTGCTTGTAGATTGTGGATTTTGTACTAGAGTTCTGATTCTGAAAATGGTTACTGAATTTTTGTCCGAGTTTGTCTTTTTTTTTTTGGTCAAGTTTCTGAATTTGTATGTGTATGATCTTCTTGTCATTTGGACTTAATAATGGCTTTGGCCCGGAGTAGTGGTTTAACAGAATGATTGTTTAGACTGCACATCAAGGTAAAATTGTTATTGAAGTTTTCAAAATTGACTGTCATTTTTATAAAAAAATAAATAATAAAATTCTGTGTCATTATAGTATACAATTTTTATTTTTACCAATTGAATAAACTTTTATCGGCTATAGATGACCATTTTTTTTTGTCTTGTATAATGACCTAATAAAGCCAATGATATTCTCCGTAATGTTGAAATTGGAATAACAAATCCCACATCATGAAAAATTGTTCTAATAAGTCATCGCCGTCATAGTAGAAAATCTATCTGCTAAACTGATTTTCATTTTTAGAAGTGCATATAATTTGCTAATTATATAAAAAATGTTAGATTATATACATTTATTTAATATTAAAAGACTTTTCTTTCTTATATAGGTATTATAGTATCGTCTATTTAAAATGTTAAAAAAAATCACCTCAGCACATTATTTGATAAAATGTATAAAAATTATACAAATTGACTTAAAACTAACTAAAGTACTTCTATTTTACTGTTTTAGATGAAAGAGTGAGAAATGTTGTCTTCTTTCAAAATGAGGCAGAAAATAAGTTTATTAAAATTATCGTGTTTTTGAAAGCATAATAGGAGAAATAATTTATTTTTACATTTTTAAGAAAATATAAAATTTGAATTTTTTAAAACAAACTAATTTTAATGCAGACAATAATGTTTATTAATGATCTACAGAATGGAAAAGTAGTTTTAAATCTTAGATATATATTCATGTCTTCAACTCGGGACACACACAAATCAAAGTGAGTTTAGCAATATTTGTTAGTTGTTGATTTCATTGTAAATGTACAAAGAATATAAATCCAATTGACAAGTAATAAATTATTAAATTCACTTTGGATACCGATATCTCATTTTGTAAAAAATACATAGAAATGACCCATGCTTAATGCATTCAAAGTATAGGTCAAACTTTTCCACTTTGCACTAGTTTAATTTTCCCTTCAGTTTCTAAGTTGTTTGCATAGGTTTGATAACGATGAGTTATCTTTTTCTCTGGGGATGACATGAATGGGGATATCTCATATTAGCAAATGACTTGCACAGTTGCATAGACTTTGGTATTCCAACCCATACCCCTACTGTTTGGATTGGCTTTTTTTTTTTAATTTTGGTCAAAGTTTGCATTGGCTTTTGAATTCCATCGTTTTCCAACAAATTTGACTATTTGCACTTCCTACCATTCCTGGCATTTGTCCCATGCATAACACAGCCTATCTTGGATGCTATGCTATTGCTCTTCTCAGTCCAAAACAAAGCTTCAGTTACCAATGCATTATAAAATAGCACTTGCTAATTATTTGATTCAAATATGTACTACTTATAAAGAAAATATTATAAGCTCCTCCTATAACTCGAGTGTAATATTATAACTCTTGTTGATGTTGTTCTTTAATTAAAATTGAAGTTTTATTTCAATATGCACTAATTTTTAATACCAATATGTTAACCTTTCATGCTAATCTTCTCTGTGCATATTATTAAGGTGAAAATTCAATTCTAATTAAAAAAAAAAATACCATCAATGGTGCTGATATATTGTACCTAAGTTTTGTCTTATATTTTATACAAATAAATAAAATGTGAATAATTAATTAAACATTAATAATCAATTAATATCTACATTCATTATTTGCAATGGGGGTGTATCGGTGATAAGTTTATTTTTTCCCCTATTCAATTTGAAATTTTTATAAGGTCATTTTTTCGATAATATTCAAATAAGACCATTTTAAATCGACTTATAAAAAAATATCAATCTTAATATTATATATAACTAAATCATAAAATTAATGAAGTATAAACTTAAAATTCAAATATATTTTACAATATATATTTTAAAATTAATAATATCAATTTAAATATTATATCATGATATGCAAAAATATTATCTATTAAGTATTGAAGTGATATTACCAAAAATAATTGTTAAAAAATTAAAATTTTAAAAGAAAAAATATACCAAAACTGAGTTAGGACAACCCAAATTATAATCTTAATCCGTTCTTAAAAATATATCGGGTTCAAATTTAAAAACCTGAACCTGTAAAAATTAATCAAGTAAGGATTTGTTAAGTCTTGAATACCCCTAAATTCCACAAAGTTCATCTGTATAAATTAGTGTAAGATTGAAAAATGGTGTGATAAGATCATTTTCATGAACTGCTTGAAGCCTTGAACAGTAAGTAGAATGATTCCTAAAAATCTCTGTCCTGAAATAGTAGTGTGCTCCCACAATATACTGCTGACAGTGAAAGCCTTTTGTCCGAACTTGGGAAATTGGAAAGGGTTCGAATGAAGCTATTGGGACTTCAGCACCAAAATCGTCTTGAACCATGACAAACTAAATTTCCTAATGAAGTCATTGCAATGCTAGTTGTTAAATTGCACCTAACACCCAACAACTAACACATGATGATGAATTCCAAGAGAGGAAGAAGAAAAAATGATTCGCAATTTTGAACAGAAGGGTGCGAGATGAAAGCCAAAGAGACAATTTTCACAATATTTTTATTAACTTTCTCTATTACATCATATAAGTAGAAATAATATTAATTAGTCTGAAATTTTCAACCATCCCATAGTATTGCATGCCTAGGATTCAACAGGGAATCATACGCTTGTAAATGTCATATTTCATCTGCATCAATGAAGGGACATTAGGGGTTTCCTATACCCGAAAATGGAGGGGATCAAATCAGTAGTTTGTGGGCATCCATTTTTCACTATAGCCTGATATAAAGAATTGATAAATAACCAAAACCTAAAAGAATCTTTGAAGAGTCCAAGTCAATTTTATTACTTACAAGAAACGAGAATTGATAAAATACTCTGCTGGTAATAGTTTAACGGTTGAGATCTCATCTAACTGTGTTGTGTCGTATGTCATATTTTTAGTAATCTAGATGTAGCTGTTTTCATATTATTTAAAGTTTTCACCAAGAATTAGTAAATCTATTAACCAAATTACAATTAATTATTTCATTTGATTGAGAGTTGCTATTTCAAGCGGCATGGTATTTGATTGGTTGCAACTTGCAACAAATATAGGGAGTCCAATAGATAATGAAAACAAGAAAAAAAAAACTATTTTTATATCTTATTAGATTAAACAAGGAAAAGAAAACACGTTAAGGCCAAATGACCCCTTCTCAAGTGGTGCCATATGGAGAGATTAACGTTAACCTCTCCAAACTCTGTACTTGTTTGTTCCTACAAACTGACCCACTTCAAAAAAAATCTACTCCACAATGCTTGCTCTTTATTCTAAACTGCTCAACCCGTTTTTAGTTATTCCTGCCTTCTAAAACCCAAGAAAAGCAAACACCACCTTTCACTATTTGTAAACCCTTTCCTTTACACGTTTTGTCACTTCAGATGGAGGGAATGGGACAAGAATCAGATCACAAAACCCGGTTGGTATTGGAGATTTGCTCCATTTCCAGCCGTTCAGTTATATGTGTTCATAGACTTATCTCAAACCCTGCCAAGGCTTCTTTCATTGATTGGTATTGCATTCTTGGAGTAAGTATTTGATCCTTTCTTATTGATGCAAACTTGGTACCTATTTTCTATGTTGTTATTATATGATGTAAATCTCTTCATATTGGTTTCTCATAGGTGGAAGAAAATGTAGAGGTAAATAGCATTCGCAAGCAATACCATAAACTTGGTAGGCTTAACTCATTTCATGGTTTTGTACATTACGCATTGTCTCTTTCTCCTGAACAATAACAAGGACTGTCATTTTGCTGCAGCCTTGCAACTTCATCCGGACAAAAATAAACACCCAAAGGCTGAAATTGCATTCAAGCTTGTCTCTGAGGTTAGTTTGTGATATTAAAAATTGTATATTTTTATTAAAAGTTTCAAATTCAACGCAATTCAATATGATGATATTATTAAATATTCTATAATTTTTAATAAAATTTTTCATATTTATTAATTTCTTATTATATGTCTTTTTTGTATATATTAAAAAATGTAGATATATTTCTTTTATTGGAAAAACTTTTAGCAACGAGTAACAAATTGTAAAAAAAAATTTAACAAATAAAAATTAATATCTTACGTGTATGATAATTTATAGATAAATTTTGTAGTACACTTAAAACTTTTAGAATACAGTACAAGAAAGATTTAAGTAATAATTTTATTTAATAATAAATTATATATAATAATATATACTTCTTAATTATAACTTATCACATATTTTTTTAATTAATTAGTACAATGTTTTTTAGTATGGTACCTATAAAAAAAATTTTAAAATATTACAGCACACACCTAATTTATATAGCTATTTCTATTTCTATTTCTATCCTAAAAAAATACACTAAAAAAATAGAAGAGAGAACTGCAAGCAAGTTATTTTTAAGAGTTGTTCAAAAATTATTTTTTTCTGATCAAAGTGGATTAAAATCAAAACTCTTGCCTTCATTTTTGTTTGTTTTTGTTGATTTTGTAGGCATATACATGTCTGTCTGATACGGCAAGAAGAAAGACTTTTGACTTGGAGAGATATAAGAATTTCTGCTTTGAGTGCAATAGAATCCCGTATACATCAAGCAATGTCCCAGGCAATTTCAATGGTTCTAGTTTCAAGACATGGAATAGTACTAGCAAGTCAAGATCTTATAAAGTTTGGAGAAATATTAGGGACACGAGAGAAAGATTGAAAGAGGAGGCTAAGGTGATAGAGAACTGTCTGCGGGCAAATTCAATGTCAAAGAAAGAATCTCCCCTCTACAATCCAGCTGACTTTGCACATGGAAGCAGGTGCCAGCACAAAATTGAGAAAGAAATCCCGGTTTTCAATCCATTGAAATACTTGTACCAAGGCTACCCTCATCCAAAGGGCCATGTTTACAAGAATTTTGAGACACGTTGGTTCTTGCAAACACAAGATATAGTGCACAATGACAAGAGGGGAGCTAAGTATGCTGACCCCGTTTTTTATGTCAAATCACAAAGAAGCATGCTCACAAGTAAATTTGCATCTGTCCCATCACAATGCTAGATTAACGATTTTCACATTAATTGGAGCAATGTGATTGACATATTTCGGCGTCTCTAGAGGATTAAGTGCAAGTTTTGTTCAATTTATTTTGACAAAATAATGGCTAATTTTTTTCTAACTTTCTGAGAAAATTTTAAGAAACTAAGTGATTCCAAACAAGCTATGATTGCACTATCATTGTGCTTTTTGTATGAGCTATATGGGGCTGCTTAGAGTAGAACCTCCAAGCGCCAAAGTGCATTGGCTATTTTAAAATTTAGGGGCTAACAAAATGAATATGTGATATTATTTGAAGTAACGTTAATGAGCTTGCATGTTGTTCCTAATCTTTTGACTGTCTTACTAGAACGACAGAGAAATATTTCTCAATGTCATACATACTGTTACTAGTTCTCTGGCTTCGTTTAAGAGAAGTCCGTTAACGATTAAAGGCTGCACCCCAAAATATCAGTAATGCAAAAGAAACATTTAAATAAACATTTTTTTATTAATTCAAAAGCAATTAAACGGTAATAAATATTTAAGAAAGGAAAGAGGAAAGCATACTTATAAAACACAAGTGAGAAATGGAAGGATAATTACGTTATTAGAAGCAAAGCATTAGAAACCCTCTGCTAAGAATACATTTTTAACATTCTTTAATAATAATAATAATAATAATAATAATCGCATAATTAAGTCTCACTTCTAATTTAACATTCTTACTTGTATTTTTATAGTTTTTCGGAAATTTCAACAAATGAGAGTGTGTTCTTAGCTCTCAAATTATATTTATCCACTGCACCTTGATGCACTTCTTCCTTGAATTTCTTGTCACTAAGGACACCTTCGAAGTTTCTATCCAAGAGCTTACTACTGGTGGATCCTGATGGCAAGCGAATGAAGTGCAGGGTTTATAGAGCAGGTTTTTAAAATCCACAAAACAGAAAAGGAAAAAAATTAGATACTATTCAGTAGGTGCTCTTAATACTGTTTATTGATTAGTAAACAACACCAATTAAGAGTTATGAGGAATGGATTTTGATTCGTTGAATAGAATTGAGAAGTTTGTTCAAACTTATATTAAAGCGTGTGTCATGACACATGAGGGGAGGAATTGATTACAAGTGTTTAGCCAAACAAGCACAAAGATAGGATCAGAAGTAACGTTGAATAGCAGTCAGAAGCAAAATAAGCAGTACACGACTAAAACAGCTGAACAATTCGATTGGATACTGCTAGGACACAATTTAATGGTGTGCACGCAAACCACCACTAGTCCTTAAGAGAGGCTGGGTAACAAAACATGTTCACAAAGTTAAAATCAGTTCTAGACACCCATGTTCATTGTAAGTTATTATTTTGTCTATAATACTTCCTTCCCTTTCATAATCTTCTTTCTTTCTTAAAGGGGATGCAAAATAGAAGAACAAATCATATGTCAAATTCTATCATCACTGAGAAGTAAGAGGGATCGAGACTCAATTGGTTCATTGAATTTAATAATAGAAAATTTTAAAATATTAATAAATTTGTCCAAATCTATTGTCGTCTCACTTTTTTCTGCCTAGTGACGCTTGTGCTATTTCCTTGAAAAACGTATGAGCATTGTGTCTTTTCAAGTTGATCATCCATATGCACAAGACATTGTGTTGGTATAAAATTTAAAAAAATATTAATTAGTTCTATCAAAAAATTCACAATAGAATTTTTATTAAAAAATAATATAATAATAAACCTATTTTCATAATTTTCAGCGCATTTCAAAGTGACTTTTAATAAAAATTACAATTTATTGATTCTTAAATTAAGTACTAATTGATCCAAATTAAAATTCAATATACAGATGAAACAGAAATAACATGAATAAAATAGGGGAAAACGAGACCAGCCAAGTTGGTTTATCTCGATTCAGAAACAAAATGTGACTTATATGTAGTTTCCAAGCTTATGTTTTAAAATATTCTTCACTGTACCTTGAATTTTACGTATAAGAATTCCAAAAATCTTTCATCTCTACATAATCGACAGTTGAATTTTTTTTTTAATATTGTTCTGAATATCATCAAGAATTGAATGCAAAATCATATGAGAAATGAATGATTCAATACTTATTTAGTTGCTTATATATAGAGAGAAGTTTTTTATAATAATAAAAAATGAAAAAATATTTCAATATTTTCAAAATATAAAAATTCATAGAAAACAATTATGATATATATGCATAATTTTATTAGTAGTATATTATATTTTAATGTTATAAATTTAATGTTTGTTGCCCTCCATAATATTTTTGGGTCCGTCCCTATTGACCCCGAAACTTAACCTCTGCCATTCGGAGTAAAGGATTAGAGCAACTCTTATGATTGAGCCCAAACAATCAACTCTATATAGACAAATGCTAATCTAGTGGGAAAATGTTAATATATTATTTTAATTATATAATTCTTTATATTTAATTTTATAAATTAATATAAAACAATTATTTAGATATATTTAAATTTTAAATATCAACTGTAAAAACTATTTATTTAATAATAGCATATGTGGATATTATATTTGACCTTTCTCTAAACGGTCTAGGTAGGTTGGACAATTTATTTTATGCCCAATGAGGGGTCTTTAGTCTCACCGGCAAATTAGTAATTGTGTCCCCCATCAAGCAGTAACAAGTTGGATAGTGTTTTTCTCATTCTCTTTTCAAAGCTGCTTCAAGAAGATGAATCAATTTCTATACACATTTTTTCACTTGATCCATATGACTGCATATGAAACATGTCATAATCTTGTGTCTTGTTGTTATTGATCCTATTATCTGATTAAATATTCCAACAATAATTTCATTATAATAAACCTTTGGCTGTATTTGTGGGTATTCTGTACCTTTTCTTTTGGAGGATTGACTCGTGGGATAGGAAGAAATCATTATCAATTGAATTGCCAGCTGGAAATGCACTGTTTGTCATACTCGAGTTCCACATTGATCAAGTTAACTTGTTGGTATGCCACGAGTCCCAGCTAGCAATATATGATCCTTCAAAAATGGAATTGATTCGGCAGGTAAGAAGCTATTCCCCTTACCTCTCTTTACCAAGAAAAAAAAAACCTCAAAACAAAGCTCTTTTATAGCCCTTTTTTTAATTAAGAAAAAACCATTTTTGAATTTAAGAAATATTTTTTTAAAATAATGAAATTTCCTATGAGTTCAGGATTATTGAATTAGTGACATCTTCATGTTTGGATTAAAGAGGATGCCACAAGAAGGTTATGTTGTTCCATATTTGCTGCAACATATTAATGGAATAGCCAACTAGTTTATACTCCTTAATTTCAATGATAAAAATTGTGGAGTACGTATTTGATGCTGACACCCTGAGACTAGATGTCGTGTAGCCATCAGCATACCTACATCAGCCCTCATCAATCATGATGCTCCGTGTATAAACTATGTTTCTTTTACTGAGTTCCTATTAGAAATCGATTGGACTTAAAGTAGAGAGAATTTATTAAGCCTTATAAGAATTCAGGATTGTTTTTTTCAAGTTAGAAATATGGGACATACTATTGGTCCCTTTAGGGATAACAGTATGTTTGTTGTTACTAGAATTATAAGTTTGCATTTTTTGGACACGTAAAGAATTTTGGCTGAAATATGCTTTAGAAGTTTAATTCATGTTTCATTTTGATCCTTAACGTTAAACCTTTCTTTGTGCAGCCAAAATGTGTACCCTCTTGTTGTCACAGAACATCGACAAGAGCCCAATCATTTTGCAATTGGACTATCAGAAGGTTCTATTAAGGTAATACAGCCTCATTTTAGTTTTAGTTAATTTATTATTTTTAATTGTTCAAGTTCTTGTACAATTATACATAGTAAAAATGCAAGACCGAATGTTTCTTATTGTGCGAGAAATTGTTTGGAGGCTCGTGAAGATGTTTAGGTAAAGAAACCTTATGCGTATAAACACAATACATGTATTATCTTCTCAAATAAAGGTGATAACTTATTTTTGATTAGTTGCATCAAATATCCAATGGCAACTCAAAGTTCAAAAATTATAAATAAAATCCAATTACAACAGCTTACTAGCCAATGGTAACTCTCTGTGTTTAGAACGAAATAATTTATCAATTATTCAAAACTAGAATAGCTTTAACTTTTTTCGGTCACCAATTGCTTTTTGTCTAATTTTGTCTTGAATGATTCGAAAATAATGTGTCAGAGTGACATGGATCTGATGCGGCCAGTGTGGGTCGTTGGCACTATCATATCATGAATGTTCCAAAATAATTAGGTGCATTGCATGCATGATATATGTTCCAAATCCAAACCAAGTCTCGTGGAGCATAGAGGTTCTAGATTCCACTTGGTCTCAAATTTTGTGGAGTAATCAACGGTAACCAAATGGATCCATTGAAAAGCAAGTTAATTACAGGTCTAATCAAACAAAATTATGGATAATTTGCGTTGAAAAGTTTTGGGCAAAGCACATGTATGAATATTGTTTTAGTTGGCCAAAAAGTGTTTGTAGATTTTGGCGAGATCCGCGGCACATATTGTAATTTTGTTGCCGTCTTACGGCTCTGAACTCTCCCTCCTATAAATTTTGGATTGCAAATACCTATCTATCATTGATGGGATGGGATCGATCTTTGAATTTATAGATATTCCACACATTAGTTGAATACCTCATCACTGCCTCTTCCAATAGTAATATCATACCTTTGAGCCTTTCTTGATAAACTTATACCCTCTTCTATTTTTACGAAGAGATAATCTTATTGAATTGATAGTTGATATATTAATATTTTACTTGTTTCTGTGTACCCTCTTTTATCACCGTTTTTTTTTTCATGTTTGCCTAATGAAAGTCTATAAGCATAAATGAGAAGACAACAATCTCCCGCCAGTAGTTATAATGATGTATGGAAACTTGGTGAGGAGATGAGGAAGTGTGAACTTTTGATTCATTTAAAGTGAGAAATTCATTTGAGAGGATTGTTTATATTAAAATAAACTT